TTTAACGTGTACCACCGGTGGTACACATGGCACGGAACGTGTTAACTGGCTGATATTTTCGCGCTTGTAGTAAAATTAAAACTTACGTTGAAGTAAAGATTATTGCTACAGGTACGATTCGAAACGCGCAGAAAAACAACGTTTCTCAATGCGACGTGGACCTGATCTTTCAAACGAAGAGAGTGTGGAGCAAATTGGGCGGTTATATCGTTCGAAGGAACGTCAGCTTAACCAGTGTCTTTCAACTGGAGTATCAGCTACAAAGAATGCCGAAAAAGGAGACCCTTCGACTCGAGCTGTCGTCTTTCAATCGCTCGTTAAAACCTATCACGCATAAAACGGTCGATTTGGAGTTGCAGTCTAGCGCGTATCCTCAATTGAACACGGAGATAAAAGCGTCATACAAACAGGCGCTTGGTCAGCTGGAGTTGCGCGCGGAAGTCAATTCGAGGCCGCATCTCAAGGACGACCGTCACAAGCTCACCGCTCTGTTGAGCGTCTTCTATTCAAAGATGTATTTCCAAAATCAAGATACAAAAGTAAGTGCGTTGATCGCCATAACGAAACCCATTCAAAACTTGGACGTTAAAATTGGAATTAATCACTATGCCGTGGTACCGGAATCGAAGACGGACTTGGTGATAGGATACGCTCCAGGTACACAGAATTTCTTTTCAGTTTTATTACAAGACTGAGAGAAATATGATAAAATCTCTCTATCTTGAAAAAATCCTGCTTTATTTTCTAATCGATATTTCTTTGTCTTTGTCTCTAGGAAAGGAGATCAGTCTGATGGTGAACCTAATAATGCCTCGCGGTCTGACGTTCGTCATGGAGGGTCACGTAAACTTGACAATCCCAAATTTTAACTCTATGCTAGTCGACGTACGGATCACCGAGAGATCGAGGCGAACGTACGAGTTGGATCTCGCTGGGACCTGGTTCAGTGGGCACAACATGACAGCACGAGGCACTTACTCGGACAGATCGATCGCGACTGTAGTTAGTCACAGTTTGAAACTGATTTTAAAATCTCCGAGTTTCGTCAATGATTTCTTGATAAATTGCAAGCTGTATCGAAACTACAGCGACGTTAGGATCGATCTGCACGTAGAGCAACTGGACCAGGATAAGTATGCCTTCATCTTGAATCACACGGTCGTGACGCCCACGAATATCATATCGTACGTCGAAGGAAGATACAAGGGGAACGTGTACTCGGTGACGACCGAGATCGACACGCGACGAGAAATTCGTATGGAGATACATTTGGACAAATGGCGAGACGTTCACTTGGCATTGAGCGGTATCAACGACGGCAACAGGAAGAGATTTGGAGCGGAAGTGAAGTGGGACGCGAATCGAGATCCAGCGTTGAAGCTGGCGTTCTTCTTCTCGTTGGATCACCAGACGGTTCAATTGCCGGCTCTTTCGAATTCGGAGGAACAGCTGGCTGAACAGAACGTTAGTACGATGGTCACCTTGACCTATCCCGGTCGCTTTGTCGTTTGTTCCTGTCACGTGACCGCGCGCGGGTACTACGATTACGTCGTCGATGCGGCGGTTGATTGGAACCCGGAGGAAACGATCAGACTGTTCATCGCGACGGAATACAACGTGAAATCGTGGATAAAGTCGGTCAGTCTGGACACTCGGTTGCTCATGCCGTTTGAGAATTGGAAGAAAACGGCTTTGAGCGTTAGGTACGAGCAGGAACGAAACAGGTTGAAATTAGACGGCAGCGCTCACTGGAGGGATTCACAGAAATTGATCGCGGAGTTAGAAGGGATTGTTGCGGAACACGATAACATCAAAGAATGGAAAGCCAATTGTGGAATAAGCAGCTCCGTGCATGACATTTCATCAACCACTGTAAACATTACTCACAAGATAGCCCATTCCGAAACTGCGGACACTCGTCTACTAATTAAATACCATCCTGACAAGGTGATCGACGCCTGGAGTATTTGGTATCTGGACAAGGAATCCGACGACGTTTTCAATCTGACCGGCAATCTGCATCTCGAGTCACCGGTGACTCGCTACAAAGTGAACGACCTGAGGTGCCAGCTGCAAGTGTTGCCTGACAGCAAGTTCTTCGGGGCGACTAACTTGAATCTGGACAGGAAAACTTACACTGGTAAACTGATCGGTGATCTTCGTCGTCTGAGGGAATCCATGGTAGAATTCAACGTCACCACTCCGTTAGAGAAGTTTGCCTTCGTTCGCGGAAGATTCGGTTTCTCAGAGAGTAACAGACACGCAGTCGCGGAGGTGCTCACTCCAACGAACTCCATCGGTTTCGAGGTGTTGTGCCAGTTCTTTACGCCGCATCACGACTTCAACGTTCGACTGTTGCTCGCCACGCCGTTGGAAATACTTCAGAAGTTACTTCTGATCGCTAAGTTGAACGACCGAGAGGCGGATTTCCGGGTCGGGTACAATCGTATAACAGCTGGTTTCCAGGGTGTCTGGCGTTATCGGAACATCACCGATTTTCATTATAGTTACATACTATTCACGCCTGTCGAAGGATTCGAGGAAACCGGTATAGTTACCAAATTAATTCTGACGCGCACCGAGGACGACTATCTCGACGTCGATACAGAATTCTCCATAAGAGTGTCGGACGAGAAGTTCAGCGACATGAAGCTCGGCGTTAGAGCCAGGGCTGGTTCAAAGCCTGCGCCGGTTACTATACCGATTAAATCGCCGATCGTCCCGGCCAATCAGACGAAAATCGACGACACAGAACTGACAACGGAGAGAAACGAGCTGGATCAACTGTCAGAGGACTACGACGAACCAAGCAGCCTCCATTGGCACGGAGAGATCGAGATCTATCCCGTGATTATCGAGCCCATAAAGGGAGAGCTGGATGCGGATAACGAGGGACCGACTTACAAAATCGCCGGTGCATTGCAGTATTTGCAAAGGAAGAAAATCCTGCTGGAGGACACGTTCTGGATGGAGGATCTCTTCAACATGAAAAACGAGTTGAACCTGATAGTCCCGTTCGAGTTCTTCAACGAGATCGTTTGCTCGAACGCGTTCATCGTGAACATGGAGAATCTCAATTACAAGATGGAAGCGATCGTGAACGTGCGCAGAAACGCGACGTGGTACGAGACCGGATTGCACGCGACCTACGTCTACCACGAGAGCGAAGTGGACGACTCGCAATTGCACGTGCTGCACTTGAACGTGAAGACACCGATAGACTCTCTGAGATTTATCAACACGAACACCAGCCTGGACATCGACGAGAACTTCTACAGGGCTAAGGTCGGCATCCGCGCGCCGGACAGCGTCGTCGATCTGTTTGGATCTTTGGAGACGGAGGAGACGTTACTGGACACGGTGCTCACTGTCGAGATCGACACGCCGTTGCTGAAAGTGCCGAGATCCACCGTCACCGCGAAACGAGACTTCACTGTGAAAGAGAGGTACGCGAAGATCAGCTGCGACATTGGCGAGCCTGTCGGGCTCTCGCTTCAATCGAGCTGGTACGCGAAAGACGACAAGGTGAAAGCGTTCCTCGTCTTCAAGTCTTGGATAGAGTCGATAAGGAACGTCGAAGTCCAAGCTTCTTACTCGAACGCGATCGCGAGCAACGGCACCGCGAGCTTGAACGTTCTGGCGAGACATCAACTTGACCGACAGTACAAATTACTCGGTAACTACAGCGACAGCGTGATCAAGGCCGAATTGTACACGCCTCACTCGAACGGGAAGCCGCATTTCGAGTTCCATGGTAACTCGATGAAGGAAAGCGATGTTCTCCACAGATTCAACGGTCAGCTGCGAGACCATTTGAACTCGAGCGTGCACGCCGTTTCCGGTGTCATCGAACTAACGAAAAATGGTACTTTACGAACGTTCGAGGCGACAGTGCAGCAGCCGGAGATCGGCCAAGAGAACAATTTGGTTGTGAAACTGAAGAGGGAGAAGTACGGGTTGAACGCTGCGTTGATCAGTCGTACGATCAATGGATCGTTGGACGCGAATCTCGTGAACCCTTTGAACTGGGACGTGAGAGCACGCGCGAAATTGTCGAAGCCATCGGACCAGAAAGATGATCACGCGACGATCCGGTTTGTCTCGTACATGAACGTTCAGGTGAACGACAACACGACGCTCTACGTTCACGCGGAAACACCGTTGCCGGACGTTCGGAACGTTACTCTAGCCGGCAGCATGTTGATGTCGAACAACAGCGGTGATGTTCGAGCGAATGGCTGGCTGAACGAGCACGCTCGACACGTGGTTCTCCAATGGAAGTTCATCCACATGGCGGATATGTTTGGACGAGCGTTGATCGGATCCGAGGGGCCGACGGATCTCGACAGCAAGCTGTTCGACGGCCGACTGTTCTTCAAGAATCCCCGCCGTGCGTTCAGAAACGTCGACGTCGGCTTCGACCTGGACGTCGACCGCGAAAAGTGGAAATTCGGAGCGAACGCCACCGTTGGATTCCGAAACCACGAGAACATCGACGGGGTGTTCGCCGTTAGATTACCACCGCCTAACAACGACGATCATCGCATTCTCATCAGCTATCACGCGAACCAAGGGATGAAGGACGCATCGTACGTGATCGGTTACAACGCCGTACGTGCGAAAACCAACTACGCCTCTGACGGTTCGATACACATGGGCATGCGGGACATCAACGGACACTTGCGCGCCTCCTGGGGTATGTTGCCCGTTCAGTCTGTGAACAATCTGTTGAACATAAGCTTCGACAATAAAGAGGTGGAACTGAAATACTCTCTGTACACTCCAAAATTCCAGCAACAGGAGACGTTGGTCCTGTTGTTTAATTACGACGGTACGCAAGACACGGAGAGACGGTTGATAAACGGCGAGGTTTATTGCCCGGCAAGCACACGGATAGCCTCGGCAAATGTGTCCTACGAGAGTTTGTTGAACGTGAACGGTACGATAAACACCGCCTTCCCTGTGGCGAACGTCTCGTCGCTGGGATGCCAGTTCATCGTGCTCACCACTCTGCAGCGGAACAAAAGATACGCGAAGCTGTACTGGCCGCGCAACACCGCGATAGTAAATTCAGATTACAATTACCAGAGCGAGAATCTGAACTCGGATCTCGAGGGGATTTTGCACGCCGAGGTCCCCCTAAATACGCGTCACGTCGGCCACTTGACATACGGCTACAAGAAACGACCGCAAACGACGACCGGTTACGCGAAACTGACTTACAACGGCCAGAAGGTGCTTCACGGTCAGTACAATTCGAAGAGCGAGTCGCGGGCCGGCTTCGACAAGGATCGCACTCAAATCACCGTCGAGAACATGTACAAACCAATAGGCATTATCTACGTGTACCAATACGAGTACAGCGCGGGGAACGCAGGGACTAATTTGCCGACCGTCGAGTTCAAGCACGTTCATCTGTACCGATTGGATAACAGGACGGCGTTGAACGTGACTGGCGAATCGAGGATCAGAACGACGCACACTGGCCAGGATATCCATTTGAAGGCGGTACACTTGAACAAGACGTTGCAATTGAAAACCGAGTACGAGGTGCTGCCGGGCGAGTTCGACCAGACCAGCTGGCTAAGCTTGGCCGAGGACGCCTGGGTTTCCTACAGCATCAACATCTTGAACAAAACCACGGACGAGGTGGGCAATCAATTCTTGGCTCTGAATGTCTCCTACCCCCGGAGAAATTTCAGCCTCGATGGCTCTTACTGGATCAGCAGCGAACAGTTGAACTCTGTGTTGAAACTGGACTGGGACCGGGAGACCACGAGGCCTCGAACTGTTGGGGCGTTGTTCAACTGGACGAGACTTCCGCCGGAGGATGATGGCATGCATCATAGAGCGACCTTCGTTTTGATCCATCCGAGTTTCCTGAAAGAAACCTCTTTGACCGGCGAGATGAAGGCCGACGGTTCCAGAGACTCGGTGGATGTCCGCCTTGTCGCTGATTATTCTACTGATCCAAGCAAGTTGTTCCAATTCTCCGCGTCGTACAGAAACGAAAGTGAGCCGTCGTCGGCTTTTAAGAAGCATTCTTACAAGATAGCGGGTAATCATCCAAGTACGAGATTCGATCTAGATGTCCAAGGATTTCTATACGAACGTAATAGTTCGCTGTTCGAGATGGTGAATAATGGACGGTACAACCGTAGATTCACGACCAGAGACGCGGGGAAATTTAACGCACGATTGGATCTCGATCACGACGAGTTGCTGTTCCAGCGAGAGTACAACGACGCAGTGAAGTATCTGAACGTTCGGTATTATTCGTTCGATCGTAAACATGTCGTGAACGGTAGTGTAATAAATACTCCGGATTTAAATGCCACCGGTGCCTTCTTCTTCCATCCGACTGAAAAATTAACGTGGATGATGCTCAACTACACCCCAGGTTAGTGTACAGATCATTGCATTACTTTAGATCATTGTCAGGGTTAGTTGAAATGTGAAAATGGAAAATAAAAAGTATAAATAATTATTCCAGATAAGATGACAAATAAATTCCAAAATCTTACAGCGAAACAAATTATTCCCAATTGATATTTTGTTTTTCTATTTCGATGAAAATATTATTATTTATTATTTTGTTATTTCAAATAATAATCGAAGGCAAAGGCTAACAAATAGTAATTGTTTTTCGTGTGTAAAATATCTAAATCTATTTTTGCGAAATTGATTTTATCGAATCAAGAGCCATGAAAGTTACAAAATACGCAAAGGAATATATGCAAATCTACGTATAGATCGATAAACTTTTATTGCATAAGTACAATAAAATGGGATAAGTCTAGTGTAGAATAGAAATTCCATTATGGATCAATATCTTTACATTTTCCTGGCACAAAAATGACACAAAAAATAACAAATATCAAAACATAAAATTATTTTCCAAATATACAATTATCTTAATAATATTATTTAAGATGGAGTAACGCAAGTAAAAGCAAAAATTTCATTTGAATGTCTGAAATTTGAATTTTTTTTAGTGTAACTGATTTAATAAATAAATAATTTGACAATTAACTTAATAAGTACGTTTTTCAACAGACGCTGTGGAGAGTTTACGAATGTACGGTAATATTCCTGACGCTCGAAATGCTGTGTTCGATATTTGGAGGACGTACGAGGAGGATTTCACTGTGTCAGATGTTTCTTTCTACTTGAAGCTCAATCATTCCCGACTAATCACCTCCACCCTACGCTGGAGACCCGAGCTTAAGGCCGACATCATTGTACGCAATCATTTTTCTCCTTGTACCAATTTCTAAATTTCCAAATTTCTTTTTTCAAAATTTCTTCATTTCACTTCAGTAAATAATTTCAAATTTTACTAAAAAAAAAAAAAAAAAAATGAAGAAGAAGAAAAAAATACGAGTTCTTTATATTCCTTTTGTTTCCAGGCTCTTGTGAAGAATACAGCAATGGATACATACAATGGCATAAACAACGATATCTATTATTGGAAGCAGTATATTAAAATCGAAACTGTGAACGTAATTTCGGATGTTTGGGATGATGCTCAATCGGATATTCAAGGATTTATCGATGATTGGAAGTGGGTATTACCAACAAACTGCGTACATGTATTTTTGTAAATATATCTAAAAGAATGAGAGACATTTGTTTCAATTGTTAAATGTTATAATAAGAATTGCACTTTACATATTTTATATATGTCTCTTAAAGATATTCCAGTACATGTAAAATACATAAAATATTGTGAAATATCAAAGGCATCTCTTGTCACAAGATTACCAATAAATCAGGTATAATATTGATAAGAGAACAGACTTGAAAATCTAATAGCTTTCACTTTGTTTTACAATGAGATTTCTAAGCCTTTCTAAATTTGTCTAAATCTTTGAGAATTTAAATGATAGCCACGATGATGAATTTAAATGATAATACGCTTATTTGTATCACAGCAACTTGAAGGAGCTTGAGACGGACTTCGAGGAGTTGAAGATCTATCTAAACAAATCGTACAACGCGAACGACTTTTACATCAAGGATATCGTCCTCTTCGGATCGTATATGATCGACGAGCTGTCGCTACGAAGTCACATAGAGTCTTTGCCGAACATCCTAAACGAGATATGGGAGTTGATGGGCGAATCCGGGCAAGCGATCAGGAATTCTATAGTCTGGGTCGTCGAAACGATCAAGAGCGCGTTGAACAAAATCCCGGAGATCATTGCAGCTATTTTAAGGGGTGACATGATCTCTCAAGTGGCCAATATAATTGACGGTCTGCTGGAGAAGTACGACAAGTTCGTGAAGGATCTGCACGTGTCGTTCATCAAGTACATAGGCAATCTTTGGGGACAGATCTCTCAGTCGATCTCCCAACAATGGAATCGATTTTTACTGATGATAGAGCCGACATTCATTCGTTTCATTCACTATCTGGAGACGGTTGTTTGGAAAGCGAGCAAGGAAATCGTTGACTTCCTCTACGATCGGAGGAACGATCTCATCTCCTCTCCTTACTTCGATCGTTTCTCCAATTTCACCCAAGACATCGACAAGCTTTATCGCGACATCAAGGGCAACGATATCATAACGAACATTCAGAAGTACGCGAGTCTGACGATACAGTTCTTGAAGGTCAGATACTTCACGTTCGTGCCATTTGGCAAAGAATTGAAGGACGTGGCCGACGAGATCGTGACCGAGCTGAAGGAATTGCAAAAATTACCGAATATACGTTACGGTCTGGAGAAGATGCAACAAGTGTACGATAGAGCTTGCTACATTTACGAATACTTCGAGATACGCGCCAAAGTGGAGAATCTTATCCGACTGATACATTTGAAGTTAATAGATGTTAGTCAGACAGCTCTCCAAGCTGAAAGCAGATACCGTGAGGCCAAAACGAAGTTCATCTTCGATCCTAGAGAAGGCTTGATGTGCCTGGAACAGAAGTTCCCCATGTCTTGGCACTCGTTCAATCAGACACCAGAGTTTCACGAGATACCTGAATTCAGAACAATCTCCGACGCCAGTTCGTATTTCACGTCCTCGGACATGAGTTTCTGGAGGCTGTACCGGTACAAACTGTACATGGACCCGTTGAATTGGCTGCCGCCATTTAGAGGTAATCACGTGAATCTTTATTTTTATAAATATATAATGGAAAAAAGTGGAAAAAAGTTTCTTTCACTTACTAAGTACTATAATTGAGTATTAGCTTAGGCGCGTGGATAGTTTCATTGCTAAGTCCCGTAGATTTAATTAAATTTAATATCACAGATTTGTTTTCTTTAATCCCGCTCGGTTTAATTCCAGCACAAGCAATGATCATTGGTTTGCAACATTTCATTACCTTCGATGGGAGACACATAGAATTCATGGGGCCTTGCACATACTTATTGGCCCGCGATTTTGTGCGAGACACATTTGCCATCCTCTTGGAATATCAGCAACAATCTGATCGAGTTACGCACAAAATTATCGTATTACTCGGGAAGGATATTCTCGAACTCGACTTCTTCAATGACGTTAGTAATGATGATAATAACAATATAATTATTAACACGATATAATTGTTACACGATACGAATAATTATGAAAACGATAATTAATGACAAGTTTAAGCAGGTATAAAAAAGATGTATGTAAGTATCATGACTAAAAAAAAAATGCATACAGTAATAACGAACGTGCGTTATTATGGTACAATGTATGAGTAAATCAGAAATGTCTAATTTATATCTAATGGTAATTAGAAGATACAATGTTATACAATATTTTTTTTAATTCGAACTACAGCTCCGCCTGATCTCACTTCATTAGACATTTACGTATAATTATTTATTCGTTGAATTATAAATAACATAACTAAAATAATTTTCAAAGAGTAATAAATTCTCCATTTCTTTACCCTTGTCAGTGTTGCATTGAAAAGAAATGGTGAATTCTAAAAATGTTATGATAAATTTTAAAAGCTACTGTTAGACGTAAATGTTTCTGATTTGTTCATACATTATACTGTAGTAATATACATTTGTTATCATTTGTATATAAGTCATACATGTTTATGTAACATTTTTTTCTTCTTACTTTGACAACCTCTGGCTGAAAA